GGGGTTTTTGGGTGGTTCGGGAACATGTAGAGAGAATGGGCAAAACGAATGACTTCAAGAGTGTATCAGTCTGTAGTGGAAGGAAGGCGGGGTAGGGGTCGGCCTGGGAAAAGGTTTGGGGAGAGGGGGGGGGTAAAGGGGGTTTTTGTGTGCGAGGGCTTGGATTTCCAGCAGGCATGGTGAGCGTTTTGATAGGAGGAATGGAAAAGGGTTTTTAATACTTGACGTGCTGTTGGGTGTGAGCAAAAAAATTTTATAAAGGATTGGGGAAACCGCAGCCGGACTTAGTCCGGAGTGGGAAAGTACAGTGCCTGCCTTGGGGAGGGGTTAATGTTGCAGTTTAAAAACGTAGTTTAAAGCACCCTTCGGGAAAAGACAGTGATGGGTGAATGATGGTGAAGTTTTTCTTTTTGGGGCCCCCCGCCTTGGGGGGAAGGGGCCAGTGTGTTAATAAAAAAAAAAAAAATAATCCCATTACTCCAGGGGGAAGTAAAAGAATTTCCTCTGTAAACCATGCATTCATAAGAGGCAACAAAAATCCCCGGAGCAAGGGGCTAGCAACCTTTCCCTGTGAAATTACTAAATGAAAAAAAAAAAAATTTTTTGTTTCTTTTTTTTGGGTCAATCTCCCTCAGTGGTAACAGCTGGTGCATTAAAAAAAAAAATTCACCAATTAACTTTTTCACAATAATTCCACAAAATTTTGTACCCCTTTCAGGACAACACAAGCTGATTCACTAGTACAGTCCCTTTCCACCTCTGGAAGATGCCATACAGCTTGAAGGAGTATTTGGGCAATCAGGAGATGAGCCTCCTCTTGGTTAGCATCAAAAGCATCCTGCTATCACCATGGTCAAAATATCCCCTCTTGGGGTAATTAGCCATCACAAAAAAAAGCTTATGAGGCCCAAAACCAACTCCCCCCCCCCCCCCCCCCCCCCCCCGAATAACAATTCCAACCAAAAAAGACTCTTTTTTCCCGTTTGTAAAAATCAAATTTTAAGGCAACTAAGGTTGTGGTTTAGTAAGGAGAGAAGGGGACAAAATTTGGTGTTTAACTGAACATCCCAGGTAAGATTGACAGGTGCCTTCCCCCTACTGTACAGATGACTCACCCAGATGCCTGGTGGACTTACTTGAAGCCCTTCCCTCATGTACATGGGAAGGACTTATGGGGGGCCTTCTATCCATTTTTGTGGAGAGGGTGGTTTTTTCCCCCTGCTCTGCAAAGATGGCCCAACCCCCCACTGTACATGGATGGGTGGCATTCCATCCCGCTATAAATGGGGGGCCTTTGACCCCCATACTAATGGATTTTCAGGGTGACCTTCCACCCAGTACATTGGACAGCTTTCATAAACTGTCCAGGGTGACCTTCCACCCCGCGTCTGGGAAGGTCAAAGAAAAATTTCCCCTGGCCTCATCTGCTGCACATAGACAAAATTTTCCAAAAACCTCCCCGGGGCTGTCCCTTTTCATCCGAGGAGGGAGTTACTTTATTCCACCACAGTTTTGGTGTACTCACACTGGTTTGCTTCACTCCTTTACCATGCTTCTGGGTTTGGCCCAGCCCCTTCCCGCATTTCTTGTTTATGGGGATGAGACAGGCAAAGGGGGGGGTAACAACACTGGGGAACCTTTGCTGTAAAGTAGTCAGATATTAGTACTAAACATGACATCACTTTGAAGCTGGCAACAAAACAAATGCTCACTGCCCAAAATCAGTGTAGTAATGTGTACGGCTACAATAAGCAGCACCAGATGCAACAATTACGGGTTCATGCAACATATTAATTCTAGTGAAAAAAATGGAAAACCTCCCAAACCCAGCAACCCTGTGCATCTGATGTCAATACAGTGACTGCAACACAACATCCCTCAACTAACAACTCTGTGTTTATGACCTCAATACTGTGAATGCAACACAACACCAGCTCATTTAATATTACTTTTTACTATATGTTAATATCTTTCATGCATTTTATTCATACTCAAGTGATGTTAAGTTTAATTTTGATAGAGATACATTAGACAGGACACCATTTTTCATTTAAGAGCAAGCTGCATGGTAAGCCCACCCTTGATACACAAAACAGCTGCATCCAGTTTATATTATGGTTCCAATATACTTGAGTATACAGCTAAAAAATGATAAAACATTATATAGAAAGAACACTTTTTTTTATGTAATATAATTTTTAGTTATAACTCTACCGTACACTTTTCTGGTATACCATTTAAACTTATTCCTCTATAATTTTTACAATCTCTTTTGCCCCCTTTCCCTTTATATAAAGGGCTATACATGCTCTCCACAATCCCTCGTACCTTCCCCTCTTTCATACATTTATTAAACAAAAGTACCAACCACTCCAACCCACTATATCCCCCCCTGCTTTAACATTTCGTCATGATCCATCAGTTCCAGCTGCTTTACCCCCTTTCATTCTTGTAATGCCTCACGTACCCCCCCCACACTTACATTCTGCTCTTCTTCACTCCTAAAAGTGGAAATATCTCCCTGGCCAGTGCATGAAATTACCGCCTCCTTTTTTCTCAACATTTAAAAGTTCCTCAAAAATATTTTTGCCATCTACCTAATACCTCCATCTCCCCATCTACTAACTCCCCTACTCTTTTTTTAAAACTGACAAATCCATACGTTCCCTAGGTTTTTTTAACTTGTTTAACTCACTCCAAAATTTTTTTTATTTTCATAAAAATTTTCTTGACAGTGCCTCTCCCATTCTATCATCTGCTCTGCTTTTGCACTCTCTCACCACTCTCTTCACCTTTTTTTTACTCTCCATATACTCTGCTCTTCTTATAACACTTCTGCTTTGTAAAAAAACCTCTCAAAGCTAACTTTTTCTCTTTTATCACACCCTTTACTTCATCATTCCCAATCACTCCTCTTTCCTCCTGCCCCCACCTCCTATAACCACAAACTTCTGCCCCAATTCAAATACTGCATTTTTAAAACTCATCCAACCCTCTTCAACCCCCCCTACTACTCTTCTTTGCATAGTCCACCTTTCTGCCAAAGTCGTTTAAATATCTCACCCGAACTTCCCCCTCCCTTAGTTTATACACTTTCACCTCCCCCTACTTGTTGTTGCCACCTTCCTCTTGTCCCCATCTACCTCTTACTCTAACTGTAGCTACAAGTAAATAATGATCCAATATATCAGTTACATCCTGGAGCCTACCATCAACCTTTGTCCCCCAATACATAATCTAACAAACTACTTTCATTACGTGCTACATCATACCTTGTATTTTATTCATCCTCTTTTTCATAAAATATTTTTTACTTATTACCAAATCTCTTTCTACACATAGCTCAATTAAAGGCTCCCCATTTACATTTACCCATGGCACCCCAAATTTACCTATACTCCTCCACAACATTTTTACCCACTTTAGCATTGAAATCCCCAACCACAAGTACTCTCACACTTGGTTCAAAAAATCCCCACGCATTCACTCAACATTTCCAAAATATCTCTCTCTCCTCTACACTTCTCTCTTCTCCAGGGGCATTACGCTTACTATAACCCACTTTTCACATCCAACCTTTATTTTACTCCACATAATCCTTGAATTAATACATTTATAGTCCCTCTTTTCCTGCCAATATTATCCTTCACATTATTGCTACTCCTTCTTTAGCTCTAATCTATTTGAAACCCCTGATCTAATTTCCCCTTTATTCCTCTCCACTGAAACTCTCCCACCCCCTCCAGCTTTGTTTCACTTAAAGCCGGACATCCAGCTTCTTCTCATTCATAACATCCACCCAATCATCTCTTTCTTATCATTTGCCCCAACATCCACGCCATTCAGACTTCCCACTTTGACAATTTTCTTCTTCTTATTCTTTTTAGTAATCTTTACAGGAAAAGGGTTACTAGCCATTTTTTCCCAGCATTTTAGTTGACTTTTACAACACGCATGGCTTAAGGAGGAAAGATTCTTTTTCCACTTCCCCATGGATATAAAAAGAAAGTACTAAGAACAAGAACTAAGAAAATATCAAAGAAAACCAGGTGAGTGTGTATATATAAATGTGTACATGTATGTTTAGTGTGACCTAAGTGTAAGTAAAGTAGCAAGATGTACCTGTAACCTTGCTTTATTTATGAGCCCAACAAAAGACACCAGCAATCCTAACCATCATGTAAAACAATTACAGGCTTTCTTTTTTACACTCACTTGCAGGACGGTAGTACCTCCCTGGTGGTTGCTTGTCTATCAAACCTATTAAAAAATGAGAAATAAAGGTATATTGGCAACACTTCTGCAAGCGGCAGGACTTGCCGTCAGATGAGCATTAATGCCAACTTCACAGCCTCATATCTCGGTAAGTACTAGCCCTAATTTTTTTTTTCATTTTAATCCTATAACACTTAGAAAATGTTCTCTTTTTTTTCTAAAAAAAAAAAAAAAAAAAAAAAAAAATTCAAAATATTCGGGGCACGGGGGAATAGAACGTCAGACCAAAACTGGAATAAGCAGCTGCAATATGGTGGTATCCAAAATTTTTAAAAGTTTTTACGTAAAACAACAAAAAAAAAATTTCCTGAGACAGGCTACAGAATGGCTCCTGGAGCTGGGAGAGAGGAACTAAAAACACTGAAAAACCTTTGTTGGCAAATTGAAAGGCAAAAAAATTGTTGTCACATGACACCCAATAAAGGAAATACAGTATTACAAATCAACCACTGAAGATGGGAGCTAAATAGCTCTGTTCTTGTAGAATAAGGATAAATAATCACAAAAAAATTATCACAAACAGTAGACACACACACAAAGGAAAATTAATAAATTGTAAAAGGGGGAATACTATTAAGATCATATGTACACAAACATAATTTTAAAAAAAATTTCTATGTACATATATTTTAATACAGTAAGGGCAATATGAGACTAAATGAAAAAATTAGCAAACCACAGTAAATAAAAAAAATACAAGACACAATGAAAATTACCAAGCTACAATGAAAATTACCAAGCCACAATGAAAATTTGCAAGCCCCAGTGAAGATTAGCAAGTCACAAATGAAAAGTGGCAAGTCACAATGAAAAATGGCAAGTCACAATGAAAAGTGGCAAGTCACAATGAAAAATGGCAAGTCACAATGAAAAGTGGCAAGTCACAATGAAAATTAGCAGGCCATAATGAAAATTGGCAAGCCACAATGAAAATTAGCAAGTGCCACAATGTAAATTAGCAAGCCACAATGAAAATCTTCATTACACCTATTAGCAACCAAAGCCAAATGTCTTCAAAGAAAATACAAGAATAACTATGACAATTTACCAATGATGAGTACAAAATTATACATATATATGATTAAAGCTATAGTATTTACCTATCGTAGTTACAGACATAATCTCTAGGAAAAATAATACCGCATCCCATGACATCTCCTTTGTGGCAGCGTGGGCCAAACAAAGAACCCACGGTACTCCCAGTGAAGACTCTCCCATCATCTGCATGATAGGCAATGCTTCCTCTGTTCCAACCTGGGTGACGATTTTTTGGGTACTCCTGAAGAGGAAGGACAGCTTTACTTTAAAATATATAAAATTAAATGATGAAATGAGGAAGGTATTATCATCCCCTACAACAGTACAGTACTGCAGATATTCATCAGAACTTTGTAAAATGATTGCTGTTATAATAAATATAACTCCTAGGAGAAACTGGAGGGAGGGGGCTAAAAGAAGCTTCATATGCAAGAGGCTTGGACATCCAGCAAGCGTGTGTGAGCGTGTTTTAATAGGAGTGAGTAAGCAAGTGGGTTTTATGACCTGATGTGCTGTTGGAGTGTGAGCAAAGTAACATTTATGAAGGGATTCAGGGAAGCCCATTTGTCAGACTGGATGTGACCAGTACAGTGCCTGCATTTTGAAGGAGAGGTGAGGATAAATGCAGTTTGGAGGGGCACGTTGGTGCACCTCTGGCAAGACAGTGATAGAGTAAGTGTTGGTGACAATTTCTTCTTTTTAGAGTCACTCTGCCTTATTGAGAGATGGCTGGTATTTGAAAAAAACTTAACCAAATTCTTTTACAAAATGCAACCATCAAGCTCAATAAAACCCCCACAAACATCTGTGGGAATTTTAAGGACAAAACAGTTGGAACCTTAGTTTTTTATGACAGGGTAAATACCAAGGATGAGAAACCTTGAGCCTGACTTTTGTTCCTCTAGCTACAAATAATACTGAAATAACAGGAGGGTAATCATATAATTAGTTCCCATCTTTTCACCAGATTACCCAGGTGCATAGTTACAAAGTAATACAGTAGAATCAACATTGTATTATCCTAATACACAGGTAAAAGTTCTAGATTACAGATGTAGAAATCCTACACAGTATTAATATCTGGCAAGTCCCTGGGTCAGCTAATTTCCTATGTTGATTTCAAATCTTTTCTTCTTTATACCTTGCTCTTCAGCACCTTTTTCTTAAATAATTCTTAGTATTTACATCTTTTACTTCTTTAAAGGAATAAACAGTTTTTACCATTTTAGTGTATGCTGCAGAATGTAAGAATAAAGGAATGCTGCAGTAAGCCTACTGGTCCACTGCTCTCTCTTTTCTGAATATCTGTTATTTGACTTATCTGATCTTAAATTCTTACTGTGTTAATCTTTTCCCTTTAAATTTTTTTTTTTAACAAGCTGGCAGTCTCCCATCGAGGTAGGGTATTATGAAAAAAAAACATTTTCCCCATCATTCACATTATCACTGTCTTGCCAGAGGTACACAGGTATGACAGTTTTAAATGTTGCTCTGAAAAGCAAATATCCCAAACCCCTCCTTTACTGCAGGGACTGTACTTCTCACCTCCAGGACAAAAGTCCTGGCTTCAGGGTTTTTTACACAAGTTATCAAGTCACTGTTTTTTTATACTATACCATAAATTTTGTTTCCCCACAGTCATATTTTTGTCTCTAGCTAAGATCTTCATGATCTTTACCTCTATTACTAGTTCATTCTTTTTCTTAAGCCCCATCAATTTTTGAAAAAGATATACATGAAGCAGAATGACCATGAAAAGCATACAGTAAAGGAAAAATTTATAAGAGCTGAAAATCTCAATTCAATATAAAATAGCATTAACCCCTTCTCCTGAATACATTACTAAATGTACAAAGAAGAAAGATGTTCTTCTTTTTTTGGGTCATTCTACCTTGGTGAGAGATGGCTGTGTTAAAAATAAGCCATTAAAAAATAAAGTGCATACAAATTGAGCTGCAATTGCATACCTTCTTTGTCAATCCAATGGTTGTATAACCTGAACGTCCTGGATCAACAATCTCCATTTCAAAATAATGTGAGGTTGTGTTCAATGGAGCACGAGCCTGGGCAAGGCCAACATCAACTAGACTTTTCCCTCGACCACAGTATTTCCAGCATCTAATGGAAGTACCCCATACTGGTTAATTAACTAAGATCACAAAAAACAATTAAGAACACAAAGTTTTTAATAATCTATAGTAATTTAATACAGCCACTTCTCACTTAGCGACATACTTTTTTTCCCGACGCCTTGGATTTGCGATGGGCTCTCTGACCAGAAATCACAACCTAAATAATGTACGTGGAACCCCGGATTTTGCACGTACCAGATATCGGACTTTTCGGATTTCAGACACTTTTTTGTGCAAATTTTGATTCCAATTTCAGACTTTGTCCCAGGAATCGCACGTATCAGAAGCGTTCCACCAGCCAGGACGCTGCTTCAGTCTGGCTCTGTCACTGGTTGAGTAAGCATTCATCTGAATCATTTCGTAACTTTTGTGCTTGTTTAATTTATTGTGGGCTGCGAAATAAGCCACCATGGGCCCAAAGAAAGTTCCCCAGTGCCAGCCCTTTGGTAAAGGGCTAAGAGAGAGAAAGGGGGAAACTGCTTATTCAGTGATTCTACGATATGTAAAAAAACTAAAGCAGCAGGAGTCGATAAGGCATAGTACCATCCAGCAACAAATGTAGAAATTAACCCTTTCAGGGTTTTTCCGACGTACTAGTACAGCTTACGCGCCAGGGTTTTTGACGCATAAATTTAGCGCCCTCAAATCTAGCAAGAGAAGCTGGTCAGTGTGTGCAGTATAAAAAAAATCCTGCAGCACACAGTGCGTAATGAGGAAAAAAAAAAAACTTTGACCGTGTTTTTGGATTAAAACAGCGACTTTGCACTGTATTTTCCTATGGTATTTATGGTTGTATTTTAGTTTTCCGGTCTTATTTTATAGAAAGGAAGACATATTACAGAAATTGAGATTTTGATTGGTTTCACAATGAAAAGTAACCTTGAAATTGAGCTCAAAGTAGCAAAAGGGTTTAAATTTTGCCAAAGTTAAAAGTAAACAAAAACATGCCACGTGTCCAAACACGTCAACTGGTGAATCTAATATTCTTTCACAAGTGCGCCGATATTATTTATACCATTTCTACACTAATGCAGTAGTCTGCATAACAGTAAATCTTCTATTTTTGTGAGAATAAAAATTCAAAGTGGAAAGCAAAAGAAATGTAAGAGGGGCCTGGGGATGTGACTAATGAACAGAGGAAATGTTATTTTAGTGCCAGGAATGCCCTTTCTTGTTTATTCTGGACCCCTTTTTGGGAAAATTGGCATCTTTTGAAATTTTTGTAAAATTGGCAAAATTGCTAAATTCTGACCACTTTACTGGATAGTTGAAATCGGTAAATGGGTGGTTTCTTGTATTCATTGATAGAAAAAATGGAGTTCCTAGCAAAATAGACACGAAATTTTTGTTGACTAGTACACTGGAATTGGCCAAAAATAGGGCTTGAAGTGGGCAAAATTGCCCATGCGTAAACATTGTCGAGACCGCTAACTTCGTGAGAGCATAATTCCGTAAGTTTTCCAGCCCCAAATTTCATACTTTTGGTGTCATTATGATCAGGAAAAAGATTCTCTTCTTTTCATAACAAAAAAATTTTTTTTTTTTTTGAAAATTTGGCGAACAAGTTGGAAGAGGGCCTGTCGACCATGAAAGGGTTAACAGCGTAGCAAGTAAGTTAAGCGATTAAGCAACAGAAAAAGGATACACAAAAACTAAAACTTCCAATGTTGTTCGAGGTATATAGGGCCACTGACAACATATGTCGCCCCCGCGTATCTTCCACCACCCTAAACCTCTGCCAGCATCTCAGTAACCACTTTATTTTTTTACATTCTCCACAATAACCACTTTATTTCTTTACATTCTCTATTAAGTTTTTATACAATATTTATTTATAAATTACGTAAAATTGTTTCAGTGTGACTAGTGGTGTTTCAGTGTGACTAGTTTGTGTGTTTAGTGTGGTTTGGCAGCTGCTGCCGCCGCCACACCCACTCTACGGCTTATGCTGGGCAGTGGCCCTGATAACCCCAACAACAACCCAAAATTACTAAATCACATATGTAATGACATATTTTGTTGATTCTAAAGTATATATCCTGTTTCTATGTTATTAATATTGTTTACTATGTCATATTGGATGAATTTTTTTTTTTCAACAAACCGCTGTATCCTACCAAGGCAGGGTGGCCCAAAAAGAAAACAAAAGTTTCTCTTTTTTAAATTTAGTAATTTATACAGGAGAAAGGGTTACTAGGCCCCTTGCTCCCCGGCATTTTAGTCGCCTCTTACAACACACATGGCTTCGGAGGAAGAATTCTGTTCCACTTCCCCATGGAGATAAGAGAAATAAACAAGAACAAGAACTAAAAAGAAAATAGCAGAAAACTCAGAGGGGTTGTATATATGTGCTTGTACATGTATGTGTAGTGTGCCCTAAGTGTAAGTAGAAGTAGCAAGACGTACTTGAAATCTTGCATGTTTATGAGACAGAAAAAAGGACACCAGCAATCTTACCATCATGTAAAAACAATTACAGGCTTTCGTTTTACACTCACTTGGCAGGACGGGAGTACCTCCCTGGGTGGTTTTCTGTCTACCAACCTATTACCTAGGTTAGGATGAATTGTGATAGATTTAAAAAAGCATCATATTTAAGAATTTTGCCCTGTCTCCAACAATAAACTCTCCTTCCCCCATATGCCAACAAGAGTCTTCAATAAAGGTAAAAGTGTTGTTAAATGTCATTTTTATCCATTTCATTAGTGCTTTTTATTTTTTCTCATTGTTTTCTGTATGAAAAACTATATTTTTGTTCTTTAAAAAAAATTATTTTTGTTAATATTTTTTGGGTGTCTGAAAAAGTTAATTGTTTTACTTTTATTTCTTGGGGGAAAATTTACTTCGGTTTTGCACTTTTTGGTTTTAAAAAAAAACTTCGGGAAGGATTAACCTTTGACTGTCGAAAGGCCCAACCTAATTTTCTCCTGTGTCGCAAAATATTTAAAAAAAAAAAAAAAAAAAAAAAATTATTTTTTTTATAAAAAAGTTAAGTTTATTTTTTTTTGTTTTGCCCCCCCCAAAAAAATTTTTCCCATCATATTACCAGATAAGAGCCTAAATTTTCTAAAATTGATCGGAGTGGCAACGCGGCGACTCCCGCTCCCCGGGGTAAACTTTGTTTTACTTGTATTCGAGGTTTCTTTTTTTTTTCAATTTTTATTTTTTTTTACATAACTTTTGTGGCCTGTGGGCCAAATTTTTGTGCAATGTTCAAATATACACTCGTTTTAAAGAAAAAACAATTTAGAAAAAACCCCTCGTTCATTAAAGGTTGCTAAAAATTGTTAACAAACAAACAAGTAAACAAAATTTTTTTACATTTTTTTTATAAAATATACATATGTACCCAAACACTGGAACTTTTCTAGAATGCTGCGCTTGTGAAATTCTTTGAAACAGGGGATAAGCACAATGGGTCTTACACTCCTCCCCATAAAACGGGGCTCTGCGTTGTTGTGGGGTTTTGTGTATGTCCACAAACAAAAACCTCTTCTGAGCATTTTTTTTTGGGAGTGTAGCAGGCAGTGGTATGGGGTAGTGATCACCCCGGGCCCAGCGAGAGGACATGTTGATAATTTCGTGGCGCTGGTCATTGCAGGTGTTTTTTCTTGTACTTGAAATTTTTTGTTGAGACTGACAAACAAAAATTCACCATATTTGGGTTTTTTTCTTTGGGCTTCAACTTTACATATTTTAAGCATTCACTGGAAATGTCAAGAAGATGGAAAAACAGTTTTATGTACCACTTTTCTCTTGCAACACAGTCCCCGCAAAACCCCCTCTGCATTCACATTTGCCCCTAAGTCATATTGAGTTTTTAATCCATCACAGCTGCAGGTTTTACAATGGGTTTATTTGGCCCTCTATTTTGCTTGCCCGTGTCTACCATTTTGGTCGGTAACTGAGTCAGAGTGTACATCACTTTTTATCCCCGAAATGCCGATGTCATTGGCAGCAAAACCTGCACTCGCCCTACGACTGCCCCGCACGAACCTAGGGGATATGTTTTTTATTTCCACCACTGTCCACACACAATCTGTAGTTCACTCGCAAAAATCACTGAGAAAGGGCTTGTGTACCATTTTTGTCAGTATATAAAAAATATGCCCCTTACCAAGTTTTGCTCCATCATTGTTCTAACAATCACCAGTTTTTACCCAGTAACTTTCTGGTACTTTCCCTTTTTTACCGCCAGTTAAAACAATTATTCCAAAAACCAGACCCCTTTTTTTTAACACACAAACAAATAACTTTTTTCCAAAGTGTTTCCTCTTTCTTTGGATATACTGCTTGAATGAGATCTTCCTTTAACAAAACAAGACCCTTTTTTCCCAAAAAAAAGCTTTCCCGAAGGAAAAAAATCATACCAAATTTTTTTTCAGGTACATAAACACATGTCTGATTTATTAACCTGTCACTTTTGTCAGGCCCCGTTTTTTTCTGAAAAGTGTAAAATACGTAACAGTAAACAAATCATTCACGGTATAATGTCCTGAAAGCAGGGGTTGAAATCAGGCGGTCTGTCACCCAGTATGTGTTGACACTATGCTTATACACATGTGGCATAAGCTTTATTGTGGCAAAGAACAGATACATCTCTGCCACAGTTGTGTCCTTCCACTGGTGTAGGTGTGATCTTGGTGACAGAATAGTGTTTGCCATGGTGTACTCAGAGTATTTTACTGCTTTCCCTGACAATAATGTCCATCAGGGGTTCATCGAAAAAACAACTGAAAGCATTCCAGTTCAGTGGGATTGTTCCCAAGTTTTACATGATGGCCGTATTCCACTTTGTCCTCCATCAAAGTCATGGGGATTGGGAACAAACCGTCATCTTGTGCCAATCCCAGATGCGGTCAGCTGGTGGCGTTCTGGATATTGTAATGTGGTTGTGGTTGTGCGGGTTTGGTGGTTGTGGGAGTGTGGGGTTGGGTGAGGCTGGTTGTAGTTGTACAGAGTCAGCAGCGCGGGTAGTAGCGTGGCCTGCTGCTGGTGTCACATG